GATTTGTTATAATAAGTATGTAATATAAAATAATAATAAAAAAAATAAATAAAATCAAGATCTTTCATATACTTATATATAAAAACAAAAGGTTAGTGAATATGTGGGTATCGTTTACGGTCTACTGTAATGCGAACGTATACAAATTTATAGGTACAATTTTTACTAATGACCTACATACATACTCATAAATGTATACTTGAAATGTCTAGATTATTGCTTTAAGGACACACAATATCCTTTTTCAATATATATGTATAGTGCGGTAAGTGTCCGAAATATAGTGTCAAGTATAAAAAGAATAAAAAATAATTATATTTTTAACAAAGTACACAGATCCTATAAAAATGGATTTTTGTATATTTTTATATTATAAGGATAATTGCGATTAAAAATCTCATTAAAAACACATACCGTACTTTTGAATTTCTTATTATTGTTGCTATTCTTGTTGCTTTTACTGCAAAATAAAGAACTTAATTATAAATTTACTTGATAAAAAACCAATTCAAGTAATTTATAGAAAATCTCTCGAAGGTATAATTTTCTTTTCTCATTTTAAATATAAAAGAATTTTTAATGTAATATCGTTTTTTTTTTTTTTTTTTAATTTCAACTTAATGAAATTTAAGCGTTTTAATTTAAGATTGTCAGCCGATACTTTTTTGTAAAACTCAGATCTTGGAATTTTTATATTTATTGTAGGTCATTGAAGGAAAGATGGAACATACAAAAGCGTGTTGTTTTAATGTTTTAAAAATATTTTCGTTTTGTTTTTCTTTTCACTATGAAATCTGTTATACGGCTTTATTCCAAAGACGAAATCATATTAATTTTTCGAAATTGTATTTTATTTTGTAATAAGTATTTTGTTTTTGTAATAAAATCTGGCTTATTGTATCAATGTACTTGTTGTTTAACTCGAAATACGAACTTAAATAAGTTGTCTTATAACTTAAATAAGCTTTTTAATAAGTTGTCTTATAAGTGACGCAAAATTTTTTCATAATGAAACCAAAAATACAGATTTTCATTAATTTTTTATGCTTAAACTGCGTTTGTAATTGACATGTTTTCACATTAGAAACTGAAAAGAAGTTGTGCAACTGCTCTCTGGGATTGAAAGCAGTCCCGCAAGAAAAAATATAATATAAATCTTAAATTAACAGTGGGTAAACTATTGGGAAGAAATTTAATTTCTTTTCTTTTGAAAACTTCAGATGAGAAACAGAAATACGAGTATGATGAATTTTTTTTTAGCCGTGGAATATATTAAGTACAATTAATTTTAAATTTCTTTTATTATGCTATGTAGGAAATAATTTTTGCAAACTTTATTTTGTAAAAAAAAAAATTATATTTAACAATCATTTTAAAATAATAAAAATCTTATATTAAGAGAAGCAAAATAAAACAACTTGATGTTATTTTCTTTAATTTTAGTAAAATATTTTTCTTTCTTTTTAGTTAAGGAGTTTGAGTAGTTCAGAATTTCATTCCAAAATTAGCATGATGCTTCATCAAGATGGAAGTCATTGTACAGCATGCACAAAATCGTCTAAAAGGATTCTCGATTTCCTAGAAGAGTGAAAGTTAAAAATTTTTAAGGAATTCTAAATTTGTTGCTGTCCTTGCGCTATATACGCTGTATAGATATAAGTATATAAACGAGCCGAAGAATCATTCAATTTTTAAGAGAATAAATCTTATAATAAGTAATTTTCAAAATCTAATAAATTCATATAGTTTAAATATATTAATAGAGAAATTTTTTTTAATATTGAACGTAGCTTAGATTCGTTACTTTCAATCATGAATTTTTTATAAAAATTTCAAAATAGTCATTTTGTAAATATTCAAAATTTTTAATTCATTTCAATTTCCAAAAAGATAATTTTATTTTATTTGATTGCACAACTTCATTAAAAGTAATGACTATTATGTAAACAGAAAAAATTTAATATTAATTTTTGAAAATTTCAAATGAAAACTTAAAAAATTAATAACAGAAGCAATCATATCAATAACACTCTCAATACTTTGAATATAAAAATTAAAAATTAATAAGGGAAAAAGAATTTGAAAAATAATGTTAAACCTTTTTTGTATATAGCCTTAAGAGATTGCATTCCTTCTACATAAATTTATGAAATAAGCCCTTTTTGTATCGTTGATGTTTAAAAAAATGTAAAAATTTTCATTTTCATTTTACTTTTGATTTTATTAAATTGTTTATTTGAAATATTTATTTTGTTTTTTTATTTCGTCAGACTGTTATTCTCTTACGCGCGCATTGCAATCGTAAAAATTTACAATTAATTAAATTTTAAAGAGTTTTGAATTTCTTTTTCATTAATATTTTAATATTTCATATTAATCTTTTCCATTTCATATTTTTTTTCCAATTGAAATACAAAATAAATTGGAATTTAATTGAATATACTTTAGCAGCTAAACATTTATAATAAAATTGAAGAAATTTGTTATTCAATATTATTTATAATAAAACGCATGAATTCTTTATTAAAATGGCAGTTAACAAATACCTAAGGCACTGCCCTGGTTACTAATTAACTAACTAACTAAACAGGGCAGTGCCTTTGGTATTCAGTTTTTTCTTTTTGTTTTCAGAACATTGAAATTAAAAGCTAATATAGACTTTCAAACAAAAAAATTTAAAACTCATCCATTATTAAATTGTATGAAAAACCAAAACAGACAGGTATGTATGTATTTCTGTACAAATTTTCAAATATTAATAGATAAACAATAAAAAATCTTAACTACATGTTAGATAGGTATATAATTTTGAGTCATGAACATTTTTTTTTATGAATATGCAAAAAAATTACTTGGTTAAATGAATTTCTCAACATTGTGGTGTTGCCCTCAAAATACAAAATGTTTTTGTTGCAGTCAAAAAATTTATGATAACGCAATTTTTTGGTACAACGCATTGATATTATTATTTTACGAATGCACGATCCAACATACTAATCAACTTGGTTAAGCTGAAGACGAAGCTATTAAGCTGAAGTGTATGGAGTGTGGAGTGAAGTTAAAATTCGAATAAGTCTAAAATTGTAAAATTTTCTAATTTACAAGAAAATTAAACTCATTTCGTTGTACGTATAATGAGACATACACATAACTTAATATTACCAAAATTAAGATATAAAGAATCAATATTTATAGCTATTAATATAGATCACCACGATTATGGAATTCCGCCACATTCATTTGCGTTGTCGTTTCTTGAAGTTTTTGTTTTAACTTAAGTTATGTAACTTTGCGATCCTCTTTTTCATTACCATGTCACTTTCCGGCATAAGATATTAGTTATAATAGTTGCTTGTACAAATTATTTAAAATTTTTTGTATAATTGTCGTTTATGTAATCCAAAGCAAGATTTTTGGTGAAAATTTCAAATTATGGAATTTAAGCCCAATTTTTTTTTTTTTTAATTTGAAAATCAAAAAAATTCTTCTCATTTAACTTTTAAAATGTAATGTGTTAGTAGAAACACGATGTTAAACTTATACTGCATTCAACAAATACTTTAATTGCTAGCTTCCATAATATTTACCTAATTATTACTTTAACCGCGTAAAATACTATTAGAATGTCACAATTAATCGTGCAAACAGTAACGCAATAAATGAAGTACAACTGAAATTTGCCTTTATAGTTAAGTATGAAGGAGACGTAGAGAAAAAAAAAATCGTTATTTTAATATTCCTTGCGTGTTCTTTTACAAAGCAATATTTTTGCTTTTACAATCATACTACAAAAATGTTTTTTTTTTCTACTTTATTATAGAAACCATCAGAAAAAGAAAAAAATTTTAAAAGAAAAAAAAAATGAATAAAACACAAAACCCAGTTGTTTTAGAATTTTAAAAATTGTTCAAAAAGTATCCTTTTTTTATTATCCTTTTAATTTTGATTTTTAATGTAATTAAAACATTCCGAATGTAATGAAAATAAGGATGGCACATTTAGCTTTTATGTATTTCGTTTTTCTTGTTACTTTCGGTATTATTTTTTTTTTTGTTTTGTTTATTTTTGTAAATTTTTAACAAATTAAATCTTCATTATCAGAACATTAGATGAAATAAAAATTACATAAAAATAATTTTTGGATAATTTATGCTTCGAGAATTCTTGAAATTGGTTAATTGAAAAGTTAAAAATGAACCGAAAGTTAAAAAATTTTTTTTGTTGCATTTTCGGTTGTTGTCGGTTTCATTTATTTATTTGCTCTTATTTTTTCTTTGTTGATTTAAACGGATAGGTTTTGAAATGGAAAAAAAATTATAAATAATAAGTGGATTTTTTATGTGTTAGTGAAATAAAAAAAAATATTGATGCTTTTAGTGTACGTAGCCAAAATAAAAATTAATTTCTGCTTATGCACCCAAAATATTTTTTTATTAATTAAAAGTTTTACTTGTTCAGTGTTTGGGTCTACAGAATTTAATCAATTGATTTTGTTAATAGTTTTGTTTTAAATTTTGGTCATTTGAGATAATCAAAATCTTAAAATTAATCAAGAGTTTATGAAATGCTTTTAATCTTAAAGTTTATACGTTATAAGTATAGGTATTTTGGATAAAAAGTAGTAAAATTTGGAAAATTATGTTTTGTACTAATTTTAATTAAGAGTCTGGAACTGTAATTAAATTCAGAAGAATTTTAGAAAATTATTTTAGTTCTTTAAATTAAAGAAAATATTCTTTTATTTGAAATTTTCATAATTATATTAGTGCGAATATTTTTTGAATAATCTCAATTAATTAAAATAATTACAAGATATAATTTTAATTTGATATTTGGTCCGAGAAAAAAAAAATTGTTAGTGATGTTACTAATTACCAATACAACGTGTAGTTGTTTATCTTTGTCATTATAGTAATTTTTTAAGAGAGTAATTGATGGAAAATCCTTCATACAATTTGCAGCAATAAAAAAAAATGTCTCCTCGAACTCAAACCACTGACCTGCCATTTTTTAGGCGAACGCTCGACTACTTGAGCTACTGTCCATTTCAAGAAGAAATTCTTCAGCAGAAACAGAATTGCCTTGGTTTAAGAGTTTAAAAAATTTATTTAAGCAATTTTTTATAATTTTTTCTTTTTTTTATAAAATGTAGTCTTTACATTTTTTGTGTTTTGTTTTAATAAATATACAAAATTTTATAACTCAATCACTTTTAGAGATAAACGTTTATCGTAAAAATAAAAATCACAAAATTTTTTAATAAAAATTTAAATTTTAATCAATAAAATCAAGTCGCATTAAAAATGATAAAATCGTACTAATTTTCCCCTTACCGAGTCCTATAACGCCAAAATACACCAAATATAATATGCCTGGTTCTTAAGAAATAATTATAATGAACCATCAAAAAAGGCGAATGTATAACCCTATTTAAATTTATTTTCGTTAGAATTCCATGCAACAATAATGTAAAACCTTTAGAAATATTAAAAAAACTAAGAGAAAAAGAATTGATCTGTACAACTGTAATGATATAGTAAATACGTTTAGAAATCAAAAAATTTGGAATCAATATTGTTTAAGTAATTTGTTTGTTTTAACAATTGTAAGTCAAAAATAGCATTTTATTTTAGGAAATTTTTTATTTCAAGAGTTTTTTTTATTTTCATAATAATTGAATAAAGCTTTAGAAATTATTGTAAATCATTTTGTTTCAAGAACCTTATTAGAGAGTCATAAGAAATCACAAGGGAGATTATGGGATTACTGCTTGTGATTATACATTTGAAAATCTTATTTCATAATTATTCTAATTATGTTATGTTAGAAATAGAGATGCGATTTATATAAAAATGAAAGAGAGACCAGTGATTTCAAACATTTTATGTACAATATTTATCGGAGAGATGAATGAACCCAATAGGTTATAATTGCAATTATTCAAGGATGGTATTTGAAATAATTTGCGATTGTAATATGAAAAAATTTTATTTACAAAAAATTCCATACACTTTATGAACATTTTTAATTTTAGTAAAGTTCCTTTACGCGCCCGTTTCCTTAATTTGATTTGTTTAATAAATTATGAATGAAAGTCTCAACTAAAAATAAATATTGTAATACTATTCGAAAATTTTTAACAATACTTGGTTTTTTTTTATCTTTTTTTTTTATGTTATATGGAAACTTTTGTAACATGGGTTCGAAAATAAATGAACATAAAACCAAACATGAAAAATTTCGCTGGAAAACCATTATTTTTATATTCTAAATACATATAATAAATATAAGGTATATGTAGATATATTTCTATAAAAATGTGTGTACCTTCATTTTTCATACCACACCGAATACGAGAAAATAAAAAAGAGAGAAAAAAAAGAATAATTGCTAGGAGATATTTTTTATTTTCTTTTATGTTTTTTTGTTTGTTGTTTGTTTTTTTTTCTGTGGTAAAATAAAAATCCTTTTATGCAACAAAACATAAATAAAAAGGACATTATCCTCTGTGACAGGCAAAGCGATAACAGAAAAATTATCCTTGTTAACGATAATTTCAAATTGAAATTGCAAAAAGGATAATCTTTTCATTTATTTAGTTTAGTTTTTTATTTCACATTTTTTTTCTTGCTGTTCATTTTTTCTTTCTAATTTTTGTTTTCTTTTTTATTTTGTAAATGTTTTTCACATCTTTTTTATTTAATTTTCTTCAAACATTTGTCATTTTTCGCGATTTTTTTTGTTTTTTTTTTTTAAAACAGAAAAGAATTATAATAGATAAAATTTAATTTTCATTTAAGTCCTTGATTTTTAGTTGTTTTTGTTTTTTTTTTTTGAAAAAACTAAAATGAAATATGTAGGTATACGAGAATTTTTTTAGAAAAAAAACGTAGATTAAAAATTTTTCAAATTTAAGTTGTATTTAATTTTTCTGATTACTAAAGCAATTTTTTTTTGGTATTTCTTAATTTTAGGAACCATATTCAGGCTTTTTTCTATTGATGTCGTTCTATATTGACGCTAGAAGATGTTATAAAATAACTTGGGTTTGAGTATCTTATTTTGTTCTTTAATTATTGTATAATTTAATTAAATATTATTGAACACTATTGATAATTTTATATTTTTCTGAGTCAAGATTAATTTTGCAATCGATTATAAGAAAATAGAAGTCAAAGCGATTCGAATTTTAAATGCGAAAAAGTAACGAAGCTAATTGAGTAAGGTCATGTATAAATTCATTTTGATGTTTTTTAATTTATTTATTTATCAATTAATTTCAGACGATTTATAAAAATTGTGTTTAAGAAATTAAAAACTGCAAACTAATCTTACAACTAATTTTTATACTACTAATTAATACTACTAATATACGTACATTAATTTCTAAAATTTTTTAAATGCTTTAAAAGCTTATTTTTAAATTCATTTAATTTTTTACGATTTTTTATGTCATCTGGCAAGGTGTTGTACATCCTTATTGCACTGCATTTCAATCCATTTAATTTCATACTTAACGTGGCCTTAGGAACTATTAGACGCCCTCTATTTCTGGTGTTATAGTCACGTACGGTGCCTCTGGTTGGGATTGATAATGTTGATTTCGTTTGCTTGTTCATGAACTTGTATACATATTTGCACTTCTCTAGGTATATGAGTTGATTTATATCTAGCTCATTTGTTCTCCTGTATAGTTCCTTAGTATTCAGCTTCGGGTTAAAATATATAATGTTTTTAAGGTTTTGTTCATAACAGTACCCATTTGGCTAACATGGAATTTGGTACAATGACTGCAGCTGCATATGTTATAGCGTATTTTTGACAATATGTGCCCGTTATATTATATTAATTTAGCTGCTTTAACACCACCTGCCCTTTTTGTAGCCATAGTGATTGGAATAATACTTTTTTTTAATTGTTTCACATGCCTATCCTACTTCAAATGTTCATCTATAAAGATACCAAGGTATTTTATATATTCCACCCTTTGAGTTGCGACATCTCCAGCTTTTATTGTAATATCGTGGTATTTTTTTTTCGGTTTTTTAAATACCATATAATACGTTTTTTGGCATTCATAGAGAGGTCATTTCCACGAACCCAATCCATGTATACTGTAATACCTTTATTTAGAGCAGCACCCGGCAAACTATGACCCGCGGGTCACGGAGTGACCCGAAGCATGATTTTATGTTACCCGCTTCGAGTTTTTAAAGTAACTTTCCAAATCTATGTAAGAAAAATAACAAAAAATTGAACGAAATTAAAGAATTTTTTATTTTCCAAACCATTTATTGACAAACTATGATTTTTGAATTTTTAAATTCGTAGTAGCCGTGATAACTTTTATGTTGCTATGCTCAAAACAAAAAAAGAAGAAAATTAAAATACATTGAGCCCTAAGTTTCAATTGCTTTTTTCACATTTCTTTAGTTTGAAAATTTGTGTGATTCAAAAACAAATTATTTTTTTTATTTGTCTGCCTTGAGTAAGTATATAAAACAAATACATAATAGCAAAAATCTTTAACAAATATTAAAATTTTTATTGCAAGTTAATTCTCAGTAAACAAAATTTAGTGGTGGATATAATAGTTTTTTGTGATTTTAACCATGACCGAACCGAAGGCAAAGAAGATTAGATTATTTCAACAAATATGGCAAGAGAAATATGGCTGTATCGAAACTGGTGACCGTGTGGTGTGTTGCCTATGTGGAGATACAATTACCGGTCGAACTTACAATATAGAGAGGCATTTTTTTTCCAAACATGAAGCTGTAAGTGACATGCCAAAAGATGAAAAATTAGAACACATCAAGAAACACGTATTGAATTTTAATAGTCAAAAAGGGGTTTTACAGAAGTTTGTAACGCAACATCACTATTCAACAACTGCTAGCTATGCAGCAGCCCTTGCGATTGCACGCAACGGAAAACCATTTTCAGACGGTGAATATTTAAAGACCGCATTTATTGAATGCTCCGAACATCTTTTTAATGATTTTAAAAATAAAAGAGAATTCTTGGCCAGAATTAAAGAAATTCCATTATCAGCAAGAACTGTTCAGCGACGTATAAAACATATGGCTGAAGACATTGATATTCAGATCAAAACCGATTTATTATCGAGCAACGTTATTAGTATTTCCCTGGATGAAAGCAATGACATAAATAATATGGCAAGACTTGCAATTATTGCTCGATTTGCATCAATTAATTGCACAAAAGTCCAGGAGGAATTGTGCGTTCTTGCTTCAATGGATGGAACAACGAAAGGCTCTGATATTCTCATTAAAGTTCAGGAGTTCACCCAGTTTGGAAATGAGAGATTTTTGGATTTAAAAAAGAAACTGTTTTCCATAACAACTGATGGTGCTCCGTCTATGAGGGGGAAAAATATTGGATTTGTGAAATTGTTAGAAAATCAACTTGGTCGTCCTCTCTTATCTTTTCATTGCATTATACACGAGGAGAATTTATGTGCAAAGGCGTCAATGAAAGAACTTAATAATGTAATGAAGACGGTTGTTAAAATTGTTAACATAATTACAGCACGTTCTGCTTTAACACACAGACGCTTCAAATCTTTTTTACAGGAAATTGAAGCGGAGTATGGAAGTTTGCTGTTGCACTCTGAAGTTCGTTGGTTAAGCAGAGGGAAGGTACTTAATAGATTTATAGATTGCTTTGATGCAATACAAATATTTCTGGTTGAAATCGGAGAAAATTATCCCGAACTTGATGATAAGAAATGGTTCTTAAAACTTTTGTTCTTAACGGATATAATGAACCATTATAATGAATTCAACAAACGACTTCAAGGTAACGGTCATACAATTTTAAAATTATTTGAAGAATGGAAGAGTTTTTGCTCAAAAATAGTTTTATTTGAAACAGATGTAAAAACTCGTAAGTTTAACTATTTCTTACATCTTAAAAGTCAAGAAGAAAAAGGCACTATTGATGATTCCGATGTAAAGACATTTGAGTCTTATATTAATAGCATGAAAGACGAATTTGAATTTAGATTTCAAACTTTGAAAACGCACGGCCCAATGTTTACGTTTATAACGAAGCCGGATGTAGTTGATGAAACTATTTTAGAATTACAATATTTTGAGTTCCTCGAAATCACCAATTTCAGCTTAGAACTGATTGATTTGAAAAGTTTCACTTTATGGACTGATAAATTTGAAACTTTACGTCGCGATTTAGAAAAAACTGAAGACAATCATCTTGATATAATATCCACATGCTGGGCATCTCTTCCAACAAAGTTTACATGCCTAAAAAAAGTTGCATTTGCTCTTTTATCTGCATTTGGATCAAGTTATAATTGTGAACAAACATTTTCACAAATGAAGTATATATTAAATAAAAACAGGAGTAGTTTGACTACGGAGCATTCTGATGAATGTGTCCGACTTAAGGTATCAACATATGAACCAAACTTGTCCAAATTAACTGCAACAGCACAGCATCATGGAAGTCACTAATTTTGAACTTATAATATTAAATATTGGTTTTGTTATTTTTTGATTTATTTTTATTATATGTGTATTGAATTTATTTCTGTTATGTTTCTATTTATTTTAATATATAATAAATGAATTAACTTTTCGTTTAACTATTCTTTTTAATTGCTTTTTTATAAAATTGCCGCTGACCCGCTATGAGTTTAAAAAAATCTGATTTTTGACCAATTTTACCCACGACCAAAAAAGTTTGCCGACCACTGATTTAGAGTATCTTCTAATTCTCTCAAGGTTTTCGCTTTTGCAATGAAGCTTGTATCATCAGCATATATAGTGTACTTTGATTCTAAATTACAGTTAGAAAGATTCATAACATTTATAGTAAGTACAGAAGTGGCCCCAGTAAAGATGCTTGTGGTACGCCAGTATTTATGAGTAGTTCAGCACTTGTCGTATTTTTTATTCGCACACAATGTGTTCTATTCGACAAATAGCTCCTAAATAAATTATTTGCTGTACCTCGAATTCCTAAATCATCAAGAAAGTCTAGAAGATAGCTGTGATTAACCACATCAAAAGCTTTACTTAAGTCAATAAATACTCCTGCCGCATAAATACCTTCATTTAAAGTATCGTAAACATGATCTAATGTTACCGAAACAGCAGAATCGGTACCACTTTCTTCTATGAAACCATATTGATATTCGTCAAAGCCAATTGTCGTTTCTACAAAATTTCGAATTCATGTATTGATTGCTTTTTCATATACTTATTGCATTTAGTAATGATATTGGTCTATGATTTCCACAGTCCGACTTTTGTCCACCTTTGTGTATCGGTACAATTACAGCCTTTTTCAAACATTTAGGATAAATTCCTATAGATATTATTTCATCCTAATAAATAACTGTAATATCTGCACACATATCATGATTAATCAACAAAAGATTAAATTGCAGTTAATTTATGTAACAACACAAATTACAATGTTGTTTACATGCTTAAAACTGGACTAATGTTGACTATTATCGTAATTGACATTATTGATTTTACTTTTGATAGCTGAATGTGTAAATAAAAAGCTGTATGAACAAACTTATCACAAATTGTAAAATTATGCAAGTTAAAATTATTATTTTTAACAAATAATGCTGGAAGTTTTAGTTGCATGTATTGAAATTTATGAGTTATATTTGTTTGTCCTGAAATTTAGATTTATAATATTTTAAAACACAATTTTTCTGTAAAACAAATTATATAAAAAATCATGAACGAGTTTATCGTGTTTACAAATCACAAGACTTTAAATTAATTGCACTTATGGTCACTCATACATCTTCCACATAGAGAATGCTTGATTTAATCTTCAAAATAATTTACAATTCATATTGATTACATTCAATAATTACACAAATAGACATATTAATAGTTTAAGATCATAATAGAAGAAACTATACAGTAGAAGTATCGACCGCCATTACATGCTATTGTACATGCGTATTATTATGAGATCTATGTGTTTTCCTGTCATATAAAATCATAAATAAACAACTTCGAGTACAATGATGTGCTGATGAACTTTTGGGCTATGCTAGTTCTCAGCGACTAGGTGTTTATAATACCAATTTCACCTTTTTATGAAAATATTAAACAGATTTTCTGAAATTTTATGTGTAAGTTATACTGACAAAGTTTTCGAAGAAATCAAGAGCCAACAACAGGACATCTACTCCATTCGAAGGAAATGAATATTGTTGCCAAAAGATATTGAAATAATCGCTGATTTCCTTTGAAATTAATTATATCAACTTTGATTGCCAAAGTAACTAGTCAACTCTCTGGCAGTATAAGAGCTTGGAAACTAAACTTTTATTTTAGGCCGTATTTGGCTATATCTAATTAGCTTATCTACGGAATTTTTAGAAAATTAATATTCCAACTTAATTTCTTGCTACAACTAGGATCGAGAAGTTCGTCAAAGAAAATCGGAATTCAAAAACGTGAACTTCCAGCAATTATAACTAAAAAGTTACTATGTTTTCTTAAAATTTAAAACATGTGTTTAAAGGAAAAATTGCATAATTTCATGAAACACTTTCACTTTCGCAAGACAATAAAAAAAGAACTGAACTTAGTTATGTGCTGATTATAGATTCGATTTTTTTTTTTAATTTATAAGTTTAACATTATCTAATTTGAAAAATAAAAATCAAATTGCAATCAATAAACTTAAAATTTAAAAACAATTTACCAAATAATTTATAAAATTTTCTTTGATCACATTTGATTCTTTATTACCTATATATATTGTAATACACATACCATGCATCATTATATTATTATTATACATGTGTTTTATGAAAAGTGTCTCTACAAACTGATATATAATATTATAAAAATCCTGGTTGAAATAAATTTAAAGGTAATGATTTCTATCGGAACGTTTCCTTTATAATCATATTACTTGCTATAGATGTACCATCTAAAATTTTCATATAAGCATATAAAAAGATGTAGGTCTATATCAATTTGTAAATATTATGAATACGTAGTACAGACACGTTTAAATGCTCACCCAAAATGAGCATTTATTATATTTTTTAAAATATTTAAATTATGCATATATTATTATTATATTTTTATTTTTTTTTTTTTTTTGTTTTTTTTTTTAACATATCTACATGTTTTTCACAAAAATTTAATGAGCGGAATATACGATGCAACACGAAAAATTTCTATATTTCCTTTAATTTTGTAAGCGGATTTTGATTTTGAGGTTGAATACTTTCGATTACATATTATATACGTATATACATACATGATATTGAATTTTCCCATTGAGAAGAAAAAAGGAGAACATAGCACATGCAAATCAAAGAGAATTTAGTTTATTTGTATTTTCTTATTTCATATTTTATAGTATCTACTTATATCGTATACATAATATTATATTTTTACGATATACATAATATGTAAACACTATAGAGACAATATATAAAAATTCGTATAGGTAGATAAACATTTTGATGTTAGATACATATAATATGTACATATGGGCATATTATACAAATTTGGTCTAGATAAGCAAAAAATTGCAAGTATGGAGATGTTAACGTTAGCAATAAGGTACTTTTATTATAATATTTATTACATATAAAAAATCATAGATATTTACGTACAATATCAAAAATAAATACGTGTAAATATTTTTACCAACGTGTGTTTATACATATATATTATATATATACATATATGAATTACAAGTTGGAAGGGAAATTATTATATTAGATACAGGAAATGCTATAAAAGTTTGTTAAAATCAAAATTATTTCAAAGCACTTTATATATCATTTTGAAATCAGGATAATAAAATATATATTTGTAAAATTTTGTTGAAAATATATTAATAATTAAATTTTATGTTGTTATTATTATTTTAAAGAAAAATTTTACAAATTAATGGGATTCACATTTCAGAGCAGATCAAAAATTTTGTTTTAAGAAAATATAAACCAAAAGAGTGAAAAGTCATAATATGAGCAAAATCACATTAAGTGTTTTAATAAAATATTGAACATATTAATATACATATGTATATACTGTTATGACTTACACTATACGTTATATATATTCTGTTTTAATGATAACATAGAATATTATCGTATGTATGTATATATACAAATTAATTTTGATGCAACTAAGTTCATTATAGTTAAAATAATTTGTTTTTCTGTTGAAAATTGTAACTACGAATTGAACATAATATAGTGTATAACATAATACATTGATTTCAAAAAATTGACAATTTTATATTACAGAATTTATTATATACAGATATACACAGTTACATAAAAATTCTACACTAAAATATTTTAGTTTTTAATATTTTAATTTTAAAATTAGAAATTTTATTAATTATTTATTATTATGATAAAATATACATATATGTTATATTTATTTCTTATAAATATGCATTAGGAAAATTTATGTATAATTTATAATATTCATTGAAGTATAATTTTAACATTTCATTTAAATTCAGAAATTTTTCACAATAATTTTAGATATGTACTAATTTAACATATTTTTGTTATATACACATGATACATACGATTATTTATAATAGATAGGGCGATTTTTTTAAATAATTAGTTTTTTATATTTACATAAAGCAATAGAAAAATTGCAAATTTACACAAATATGCTATATAAATAAATAAATTGTCATTTAATTCTTAAATATTCATGTGAATATTCACTAAGTTAATGTTTTAGGCCTCAAAATATTAAATTTTAAGTAAATTTTTCGCTCATTCCGCCCTGAATCTCATTAATAATTATATTTAATATTGCCTCAGAAAGCTATAATTGATGTTGGATTGTCAAATAATTATTTAAAGTAGTCAAATTTAATTATTGTAGCATTCAACTAACACATTTAAAATTTGAAATTAATTTCTCACCGAGTCGGCTTTTAAACGGCGACAACTGTATCAATGATATAAAATGCGAAGAACTAATCAGATTTTAAAATCACCCTTTAATAAATTATGAAATATGAATATACATATGTATGCAGGATTTCATTAATACTGGTATTTTTATATGCATAAGTATTATATGTGTGAAATACTTCATTATTATGCACATGAATCTATTTCGCCATCATAATTTGCAGTACAATGAATAAATTTTACAATGCAAAAAAAAAGTTTTACTTTAAAGTATTTAATTTTTTTTTTTGAGTCCATCAAATATTAAATGAATAGCTTAAAATAATGCGATTTTTATGAAAAATACAGAAATATTTTTAGATTATAATGACAAAAATATAAAGGTATGTAACGTATTACATTTAAGTAATGCATTTCTTTGAAATGTCAAATTTAAGTAATCATTGAAAATGTCAAATTATCTTTAAATTTAAAAAATAATTGTGACGGCAAAAATCTATTTAAAAAATTTTTCTTTAAAAATTTATAAAGAGAGAAAGAATAGTTTGCTGATGATGTTATTTGATT